CCCGGCGGGGTCGAGTCGGGTCGACGCCCCGCGCCGCCGCTCCCTGGCCTCTGGCCGCCTGGCATTTTGCTGCGCTCCCTCCTCCCGCCTCCGGCGCCCACCGGTTCCCAAATCCACATGCACGTGGCTTCTTTCGAGACCCGCAGTAGGAGTTGTCTGGATGTTAGAAAATAGAGTACTTTGGGGAGGTGAGGGGGAGGCAAGCTGACTCTTTTTTAGGCCAACTTGAAATCCACATTCCAGAGTCGATGTGGCCTTTCGTGAGGCCCGCAGGACCGGACGTGATCTTTGCAGTCCTTTTTATTGTCCTTTTCCAGCTGCAAGTGGGCCTTGGCCTGTCTCCCCCACACACCCTCAGGGTCGCTGCCCGGAGCTCGGGACACCTCCAGGCCCTTCCCCACCGCTGCCTGGGGCCGCTGTGGTGTTGGCTGCCAGCTAGACCCTGCGGTGCCCACTCCCAGCCAGCCCCGTGCTCTTTCACACGAATCTCTTCAGATCGGAAACCCCCTGGCCCACCGTCCCGGGATTGCACCCCCTTGACCAGCGCAGGCCTCCACCTCGGATCTCCAGTCAGATTGTAAAACTGTTCTGCCTCCGAGCGTCTTGGCTTAGTGAGGAGGGCGGCAGGGACGGGTGTCAGGGTGCTCGAGGATGCCCACTCTGCCCTTTGCCGGACACAATGGTTATCACTGGAGCAAAGCTTGGAGGGGCAGGGAGTCTGGGCTCAGTGGCATTTTTCTTTATGCCAGAGTCTTCTGAGCAGGCTTTTTGCTTGACAAGTGGGTGACTAATTGTGTCATTAGAGTGGCTCCTGCCCAGCAGAGGAGGGGGCAGTTGTGTGCATCCCAGAGAGGAAGGAGCCGGCCTTGCAGTCTTGGCTGGGGGAAGGGTCTGACATGCGCAGAGGTGTTCCCTTTGCTCCTGTGTTTGGGGTTCTGGCCTCACCCCTGGGCTCCAGGGCACAGGAGAAGGCATCTGGACTCATCTCAGGCCACTGCTGGCCTCCATCAGCCCTGATTACACCATGGTACTTTATCCCCCAGCAGCGAGTTCCTGACTGAAATCCAGGGTGGCAGTTAGTGGCCCACTGTCACATCCCGCGCCTCTGGGTCACAGCACTTCTCTGTGAGGCCTTTGGGCCCTCAGCCAGTATAACTTCTAATGTATTAAATGCAATGGTCTGGGTTGAAATAGGGACCCCCTGTCTGGGTAGAAGCACATTCTCTAAGGAAAGTGGGTGCGTTGAAGGACAGGGACAATAAAAGGAGTTCAGACCCTGGTGTGGGCTGTCCTGAGAGAACCCACCTATCCAGAGAATTCATAAATCATTTTCCTCCCTTGGAGCCTCAGGTCCCCATTATGGAGGGCTGGGCCGGATTTAACCTGGGACTTTGCACTGAACTATATTCCTAGCCCCCCTTTATTATTATTATTTTTTTTTTTTTGAAACAGTGTCTCCCTAAGTTGTATGGTCAGGATTTAATTTGTAATCCTCCTCCCTCAGCCTCTCAGAGTTCCAGAATTACAGGCATTTTCTACCATGTCCAGCTCCCCAGCCCTTTCTGAGCTGGCCTGTGCATAAGGCCCTGGGTCGGGGAGTGTAGAGGACGCAGATGTGTGTGTCCTCTCCAGCTGTTCCAGTGGTGGAACTAACAGGAGACGCAGCTGGCTAGAAATGGTCTTGAAATAGACTTGGGTATTTCCTCTGATGCTCGCATTGCCTGAGCTTGGAGGGCAGGCCTCTTGAGGAAAAGAACAGGCTGGGTGGTAAGCCTAAGTGAACTGAAGGTCAGCAGCCCAGGGAGGGCTGGAGGAGGTGGGCACCCACCTGCCATTAGCCCAGAGGGAGAGCGCATGGCGCTGAACTCCCCTCTCCCTCCCTCTTCATTTTCCATTAACCAGACCCGTCTAATCCTGTCCTAGTCTTTCCCTGTGAGGGCTGGGCAGTCTGGGGCAGCTGCTGCCTCTGACTCACAAAGCTGATTATTGAGGAGGCTCTGGAGCCCCAGGCAGCTGCCAGCAGCTGCTGCAATGGGTCCCTGGGGCAGCATCCCCGCCAGCCTGGATCCTCCGCATCCAAGGCCCTGAGGTGGCCCATTATGGGCCTGAGGACCTGAGAGAAGCCTAAACAGTGAGGGTGAGATCTGCACAGCCCCTGTGGCCAGCAGCAGGAAAGGCCCTTCCACCGCCTGTGCTCCTCTCAGGGCGGGGCAGCTGGGCGGGAGTCAGCATAGAGGGCAGGATCTGGTTATTAGAACCACTTTTCATTCCCCTCACAGGCATTGAGGTGGGCAGTGCAGGAAGCACCACAGCGCGCCCTGCTCCCAGAAAGAACACTGAGCCGGCAAAGTCAGGACAAGCGCTGGTCCCTCCCAAGGCTGGGAGCTGCGCTTTCTTGGTGTTAATGTGTACACTGGGTTCTGAATTCCCTAATAAAAGGAAGGATTCTGATGAGGCTGTATCTGCACCCTAGGATTCCCCAGCTGTGGCCATGGGCAGAGGGTGGAGGGGCATTCCAGGGATACTGGAGCTAAATGGTGGAGACTAGACTGGTCTACGCCAGGATGCAGAGCCCAGTCCTAGCCCAAACCAGAGCAGGAACTGGGCATGGTGTTGGGTACTGTAGTCCTAGCTACCTGGGAGGCTGAGGCAGGAGGATGCTTGACCTCAGGAGTTCAAGGCCAGCCCCAGCAATATAGCAAGAGCCCCATTTCAAAAACAAAACAGAGTGGGGATTACTTTTTCTTTTTTGCAGTGCTGGGGATTGAACCCAGAACCTGGCTTGTGCTAGGAAAATGCTACACCCTGAACCCTGGAGTGGGGACTCTCTGCAGGACAGCTAGCTGATGTCCTGAGCTAAGAGACTTCTAGATTGCAGGAGACTAAAGCACAGTGACAAGTGAATGTAGTCTTCATCCTTGATCCATGACTGGATTCTGGATCCAGAGCAGGAGTGGGGAGCTCTAAAGAAATTTGGAAGAGAAATGAGACTTTTTCGGTGCCAGACATCAAATCCAGGGCCTTGATCCATCCCTGCACTATATCCCTAGCCCCGAGATATTTTTTTCCCATTAAGTTTATTGGTACTTTTTAGGTATACAGTACAGTTACATTCATCATTGGGATCTTGTGCCTTCACATGACAAATCCTGGTTCTTATTTTTTCCCCATTCTGCTGCCCTCCCTTCACCCCCTCCACCCTTCCCTATTTACAAAGACTTTGTTTCCATTTTTCCTTTTTCTCATATTTTTTCTTTTCCCTTCTTTCCTTTCCCCTCCCCTTCCCACTTCCCCTACTCCTTTAGCCCTTTTCTTCCTGTTTCACATTATCAATTATACATATTGAACCTTATCTACACTTTTAGTTTTTCACACCACAGAAACTATTCAGTATTTACACCATGTGTTTCCTATTTATTTCACTTAAGAGATGGCCTCAATGTGCATCCATTTAGCTCTCTCTCTCTTTTTTTTTTGTTTTTTGGGTTTTTTTGTTTGTTTGTTTATTTGTTTTTTGAAACAGGGTCTCACTAATGTAGTTCAGACTGTTCTGGAACTCACTGTGTAGCCCAGGCTGATCTCGAACTCATGGCGATCCTCCTGCCTCAGCCTCCCAAGTGCTGGGATTTCAGGCGTATGCCATCACGCCCGGCTTAGTTTCTCACTCTTTATGGGTGAATAAGTACTCCATTTTATAGACAAACCACTTCTTTACCCAGTCTCCAGTTGGTGGGCAATTGGGCTGTTTCCAAGTTTTAACTATTACAAACTGTGCCACTGTAAACATGGGTGCACATATATCACTGTGATATGATTCTCTTAATTCTTTTGGGAAGATACCCAGCAGAGGGACAGTTGGGTCAAATGGGACCTCTAATCCTAGTTCTTTGAGGTATCTCCATATTGATTTCCACAGTGGTTGCACCAGTCTGCACTCCCACCAACAATGGAGAAGGGTTCCTTTCTCCCCACAGCCCCGCCAGCATTGGTTGTCGGTTGATTTCTTGATAGCAGCCATTCTTTCTGGGGTGAGGTGGAATCCCTGAGACAGGTTTTTAAACAGTGTGTTACATAATTATATTGGGCCGATGCTGAACTGCTTGAGTGTGATGCAGGCTTCACAGTTCTGTAGGAAAATATCATCATCGTCAGGAAGAAGCGCATTGAAGTGTTTCATGATGTGGATCATGGGCCGGAGCAAGGGCACGTGTGAGGAGAGGGAAGACGGCGGTGTCTGCCGGTCCAGGCAGATAGTGTGTGAATGCTCGTTGTACGCGCTTTTCCTCCTCTGCAGCTTTGGGATTTTTCAAGATACAAGCACAGTACAGCATTGGAAGAAAGAAACCCAGTAGGGAATTTCTCAGGAAGGGCGTGGGTTTGGTCTGGCAGCTGCACAGCCTTCATCTGTCCGGCTCCTGCAGCTTTAGCCCGATCACCCCTGCGAAGCTGCCTCGCCTTCTCCCACCTGTGGCCACCGGGTGCCCTCCAGAAGCTGCACAGCCCCTCGGATCACTGGGGGCAGGTGAGCCCCTTCCGTCGCTGTCCAGACCTTTGTCCCATGACACTACCTGCGTTTTCTCTCCTCGCCACAGGCGGCAGAGGGTCACGTACGTGTCTGGCAGTGGCTCCTGTCACTTTGGGAGCCTCTCTGTGGTCTCTCAGGCTGACACAATGCAATCCCACAGACTGGCAGGTGGAACAGTTGCTCCTCACATTGGAGGAGGCTGAGAAATCCAGGATCAAGGCAGTTAGCGGGTTCGGTTTGGGGTGAGGGCTCTTCTTGGCCTGCATTCACCACCTTGCTGTGTCCTCCATGGCAGCAGAGGGGACCAAGGCCCCTTCTCCCTCCCTTAAGGGGATTCATCCCATCCCAGGGCTCCAGGCTCAAGGCCTCATCCATACTGCTCAGCTCACAAGTCCCCAGCTCCAGTCACACTGACGCTTAGGGCCTCGGCTCAGGCATGGGGGTGGGGTGGGGAAGTGGGTTTAGTCTACAGCAGGTGTAGGGATTCACCTGGGGGGAAGCTGGAAATAATCCAGGTGCCCACTATTGGAACATTGGGTTAATTAGCAAATTGGTATTAAATAAGTAAGGAAAATAGGACATAAAATTAAAATATGTTCATAGTAATTACAATAATGTACATCAGCTGGTGTGGTGGTGCACACCTGTAATCCCAGCACTTGGGAGGCTGATGAGGCAAGAGGATCACCGCAAGTTTGAGGCCAGCCTGGGCTACACAGTGAGTTCAACACCAGTCTGAACTGCATGGCAAACCCTGTCTCAAAAAAACAAAACACAAAGAGAAAATGGGCCAGGGATTTAGCTCAGTGGTGCTGCCGCCTTTCTCACAAGAGCAAGGTCCTGAGTTCAATCCCCCATACCGGGGGGAAAAAAAAAAAGTACAGTAGTGCCGGGCATGGTGGCACATGCCCGTAATCCCAGCACTCGGGAGGCTGAGGCAGGAGGATCCCTTTGAGTTCGAGACCAGCCTGGGTTGCATAGTGAGTTCCAGGTCAGTCTCAACTACATAGTGAGACCCTGTCTCAAAAAAACAAAAATAAAAGAGAGAAGGCCCTGAGTTGGGCTCGATCCCCAGTATCTCTCTCTCTCTCTCTCTCTCTCTCACACACACACACACACACACACACACAAATTGTGAGACCTGGGACCTACAGCTCAACTTCATTCAGCAAGAGTCTTGGTTACACATAAAATTTACCTGTCAGAATTTCTACTCAGCAAAAAGAAAAAAATGTTTTTTCACTTAGCAAGAACTAGTAATTTTTTAGAGGTAGTAAATTTTGAAGAAATCCGGCTGCGGGGTGGGGGTGGGCTGCCTAGCTTTGGAGCCTCAGAAGTAAGAGGCTGCAATTGGTGCTCTCCTCTAACAGTCCCCCTTGTGTCCTGGAGGGTGAGATGGCTCGGCCCTCGGGGGACATTTTTCCTGAGAAATGCAAGATCCCGCTGGCCAGAACATTCCTCCCGTAACCTCTGCCTGGCCACACTGGCTGTGTGGACCAGGAGGTGTGGTCTGGGTTCAGAGACCTGGCAGGAGGATCGCTGGGTGTTGGAGGCCAGCCTGGGCTGCATAGTGAGATCAAGGCCAGGCTGAACTACATAGTGAGGCCCTGTCTCACACAAAAACAAAAACAAACAAACCGGCTGTGCACACATTGGTAATTGATGACTCTCTGATGTCTGGCTGGGACAATCGCAGGCACATTCTCAGCGGGCCCCGCCTCTTGACCTTGGCACTGCTCTGTTCCCCTTTTTCCCAGACCCCACTGCCTGCCTGAAAACTGGGATCGAGCCAGACACCATTTGTACTGTTTGCTCCTATAGACACCTCTTCCGTGTAGTTTATTCTATAAATTAGGCATAGCAAGAGATTAACAATAACTAATAATACGATAATTACAGCGGGTAAATGTATGCATTATTTGTTTCTGAAATTTCCTGTTTAATATTTTCACACCATGGTTGACTGTGGATTACTGAACCACAGAAGGCAAAACCATCGCTAGAGGAGAGGAGGCTGCTGAAATCCTCTTTCTCTTGAGCACACTGGGACTCAGAGAGGTGTGCTCCTCTCAAGGCCGGAAGCCCCTGTGTCCACCCTGTGTACCAACCATCCACCCTACCCTAGGTCACACTGCCCTCCCCTGCACTCTCTCATGCAGTTAAGAACTGTGTCCCTTCCTATGTCAGAAGCCCCCAAGAGACTTTACAGGCTGTCTACAAGTGGTGGTGCACTTCGGTAATCCCAGCACTGGGGGAGGCTGAGGCAGGAGGATTGCCAGTTCCGGGCCAGCCTGGAACATAATGGGACCCTACCTTAGAAACCAAAACCAAACAAAATAAATCTGTCTACCTGTTTTCTTCTTTCCATTATTGGGGAATCCAAGCAGGGCCTCGAGCACTCCAAGCAAGAGCTCTACCCCGGCGGGGCTCACCCCCAGCCCCTGCCTCTGTTTCTGTACCCAAAGTCAGTCATGGTCGGGGTTGTTCAGCCAGGCCCTCCCCAGCCATGATCTTATGCTCCAACCCTTCAGACTGGCCCGTGTTCGGATACCTTGGTTTTCTACCCTGTCCTAGACCTTCTCTGCCCCAGACACTGTATTCTCTGGCGGGGCTTGGGCAGACGGCAGATGACGGCCCGAGGACTTTTGCTTGTTTTGTTTTTATAAAGCTTTTGATGTCTTCTGAACCCTCTTTGCAGGAGCAATGCCAGAAATGGCTACCTGATGGGATTGCCGCACTCCACCATCCACACAGGCGCACCTGCTTAGGGCTGGCGTCCGTGGGGAGGGAGGCCAGCGGCCAGGGCGGGGAGCAGGTGGTGCTGGCCGAAAGAGCAGTGACTCAGCCTCTCTCACCTCCCTGTGCATGGACCAGCACCTTGCCGTGCCCTCTGCCACCAAAGAGGCTGTGCCCATACGGCCCCCTGGGCCCAGGCTGCGCGCTGCCTCTCCCTGAGCCCCTTCCCTGCCCCGCCGTTTCCCTCCCACCCTGGCATCCCCTTCATATTCTGCTTCCAGAACAGCCCTTCATGGTTCAGGCCAAAAAGCACAGGTGTTAAAAAAAAATTTTTTTTAATTAAAAAAACAAAACATCCGGGGATGTAGCTCGGTGGCACCGCACCTGCCTGGCAAGCACAAGGTCCTGAATTTGATCCCCAGTACCCAAAAGGAAAAGAAAATCCAGCTTGGTGGCACACAGCTATACTCCTCCCAGCACTCAGGAGGCTGAGGCAAGAAGATCACCACAAGTTTGAGGCGAGTCCAGCCTGCACTGCATAGCAGGACCCTATCTCAGAATAACTAAAAAAGCCAAAAGCCCGGGTGTGCCCTTTTCTTCCCTTTCCCCTCCTGCCTGCTGTCCTTCTGTCTCTAGTCCTGTCCCCTCTGTCTCCAGGGCTCCCTGCGGCCTGTCCACCCCACCCCACTCAGCCCACTAGCATCCAGTGAACTTCTCATGAGCTGGAAGCCACCTGCCAGCAGGGCCCAGGAAGAGCTGGAGGCCTCCATGCTCCGCACACCCGGCCGAGCCAGGCCAGGCCCTCGCTGGTGCCCACAGGCGGCCCTTGAGTGTCTGTGGCTCTGTCCGTCACACCATCCCCTCCTGGGTCCTTCACTCCGCAGGTCCCAAGGAGGATAAAAGTCTGAGCTCAAGTCCTCCAAAACCAACTCTGTGAACCCCCGGGGACCCCTCCCCAGACAGAGAGGCGGGCACTGTGAGTAGCAAAGGTGAGGCGCAGGCTAATCCAGGTGGATCCACCGGAGCACACAAGACACAGCGCCCCCTGTGGTGGGAGATGAGAGTGCTTCTCTGTATGCCCCTGAGGTGATCTCCCCAAAACCCAGAGCCAGGGACTTTAAAAGCCAGGGATTAGCTGCATGTGCTAATGCAGGTCTGTAATCCCAGCATTCTGAGAGGCTGAGGCAGGAGGATCCCAAGTTGAAGCCTAGCCTGGGGCTTAGCGATTTAGCAAGACCCTGTCTATAAAAAAATAAAAAGGGCTGGGATGTGGCTCAGTGCAAAAGTCCTGGCTTCAATCCTCAGTACTGAAAAAAGAAAAAGAGATAAGAAAGAGAGAAAGGCCAGGTTGAGCGTGGTAGGCAGTAGGCGGGTGGTGGGGGCTGTGAGCTGGTCGTACAGCATGAAGTTGGCATTTTACAGTGTCCCCAGAGCAAGTGCCTCGGAGGAGAGGACGCCAGGCCAGAGGAGAGTGCAGAGCACATACGCAGCAGTGGAGGGTGGAGGGGGGATGGCAGAGGAAGAGGCCAGGGCGCAAATAGAATGAAAAGGAGGAGGGAGGCTGTAGCCAGTCACACGCACACAGAGTGTCACACAGCTCCACGGGTGGAGAGGGTGCAGCTTGGACAAGCCGGGTTATTGGGCTCTGAGCGGAAGTCACACAGCCAGTCTTACCTGCCGCAGACGAGGCCTGGGAGAGCAGGGTCGGCGCACCGTCTGCCTGCAGCAGGAGGGGAGCGGGCTGGATGTTCTGGGCGCCTGGTCCTGGGGGAGCCTTCTGGAAGGGGCAGCCAGCGGGCCTCTGGTCACCGTGAGGCAGCTCTGTTCCTGCCCCGTGACCCCCCACTGCCATGTGCCGAACGCCAGGGCAGCAGCCAGGCAGATGCCCACCTCTGTCTCTCTCCGGGCCTCTCCACACTTGGCACTGTGTGAGAATCAGCCCAGCAGCCATAAAAGGCCATGACACCCGCAGTGGGGGACCAGCTTGCGGTGCCTTAGAAAAGCAGCCCAGTCCCCGACCTGCTGCCCCTCTCCGTGCCAGGCCTTGCCCTGTTCCCCTTTGCCATGCCTCTCCCCTCTCTGCTGGAGGAAAAAGCTGAGTTAGAAAATCACTCGTGGTCGCTGGAAGGTAAAACCTGGCCTCTATTCAATAATGAAATGCCAAGGCTGTGCTCTGGTCGGTGCAGTGATTGGTGGCCTTGGGTCTCAGCTGAGCCTGGTGTGGAGAGGAGCTGTCTGTGTCAGAGAGGGTCACCAGTTTA